GTGTACTTTAATATTTGAATCATATTTTTCTCTTGCACCTCATCTCTTTAGTCTTCAAAGAGAAGCAGAAATGGAGGTTTTGCAATCAGATTCAAGTATCATTTGACGGGTACATGTAGTCAAAACAAATCAGCACAGAACTTTTCTCAAAACCACAAAGCTGCGGCTGAAGTACAAAAAGATACGCGAAGTACACAAATTGCAGTAATTAGAAAATTTCTGTAAAGGCTTATTGCTAAGACTTTTTCGTATCGGCCTGAAGATAAAAAGAACTTAGCTTGGATACTCGTCAAAAATGCCGAGTATAAACCGCAATATGTTGAAATATGGTGATTCCGGACCGCATGGTCAATTGTATAAATCTCTCTGTCGAGATCGGGTGCGCTTTTACAATAGAAAATCGGCTGCCTATCTAAGATAGAGAGCTTTATTGTAAAAGCGCACCCGATTTTGACAGGGAGATTGATACATTCAAGAAGAAGAATGGGAATTGCCAACTACATTCTGGAAGAGCACTGGTTAAGTATGTTTATTTTGTGCAGGACATTGTGAATCAGTTCAAGCAACATAAATTGGAACTCGAAGCGCAGAAGAATTGGGATCGCTTCTACAATAGAAATCGAGACAATTTTTTCAAAGATCGGAAATGGAGTACACAAGATTTGCTAGAACTCTGCCCTGAATTCGACTTTACTGTTGGTGCTTAACCATTGATTGTTATGCTTCTTGCGAGCGGACCAATATACTAACTCTTTCAGCAGTCGATTGTCTTTTTGGAGGCAGGATGTGGAGTTGGAAATATGCTATTTCCCTTGAAGACTGCTTTCCCTCAGCTTGTTGTGCAAGGTTTCGACTTCTCACCGCGAGCCATTCAAATGTGCTCAGACAGAGCAAAGGATCTTGACGTGATTTCAGATTATTTGTTTGTTAGATATCCTCAGGGTCTTAAAGCCACGAAACCAGAGCAACCAAATTTAACGTCATAGAAATAGTTCCTATTTGGCAAAATCAGCAGCACCAACACTAGACCATCACCAGACACTAGAACGAAGGAACATTAACATACGTTTTCGAGTCCCAGTGTGCACATTAATCAGTTTGGTAGAGAACGTTGAATGGCTGCGTTACCGTAATTGTAAATACAAAACATTAATAATACAAAACATTAATATTTAAAGGTAGATTGTTGATTCTAGTGATTCTATGACGAGAAGACCTACACTTATCAAAATGTGATCCAATTAGCAAAAGTCATTCTCTTTTCATAAGAAAATCTTTTCAAGGTCATGATAGAGTTGACGTTAGTGGATCTGTCGATTCCTTCGGATAAATCCAATTTTTCTACACAAGCCGATATTGCTACGCTAATTTATGTGCTATCTGCTATTCATCCAGATAAACACGCAGTTGCTGTGAAGAACATGCGTAAATATGTCAAGGTAAGATTGATTCGAAGGTTTGTACTACCCAGAGACAAGAATATTTTGAGACTGGAGGTAGTGTTATTGTTCGCGACTATGGTGTTAACGATTACGCGATGATACGCTTCAAAAGGGGAGCGAAACTTGCCGATCGTTTTTATGTTAGGCAGGATGGAACTCGATCTTACTACTTCCGAATAGGTGTTTTTCTCATTACCTTTCATGAAGAATCAATACTAAATTTTGTTCCAGAAGAATTAGAGGAACTATTCAAATCAGCTGGATTCGTGTGTCTTCGAAAGGAATACTTGCATCGGCAAACTATCAATCACCAGAAACAGCTTAATGTGCCAAGAATATTTGTGCAAGCTCGATTTGTGAAGCGTTAGCGTAACAATTCAGTAGGTTGAAGTTGCAACAATTTCAATCAAAGTTATAAAAGAAAGCAAGTTTGTATTTCTATTTTCATGGCATTCAAATTTCATCTTTGTCTTTTTATTCTTCCTTTTTCCTCCCCCTATAACAATTCCATTATAAGTTCGCCATTGTCCACTGCCTTATAAATGTGAGCGACTTCACTTTTAGATATGAAATTTTGCAATAAAAAAGTTGCACAACAGATGATCTGAAATGAGAAGACAGCGTTTTTATGGCAAACCTATGC